GCTAACTTTTAAAAAATAAAAATTATTTTGAAAACCTAAAAAAGAAATTTTTTTTAATTGAGAGGATTAATGACCTGAGAGAAAGCTACTTGAACTTTAGATTTGGTAGATTTTACAATTTATTTTTCATTACACGTTTGTGTTTAGCATTCAAATTCATATTTGCATTATGATTGCAACACTAAACAATTGTTTACTCAATCAATGAGTATTGGAACAATACCCCTGATGTGGTACAGTGGTCAGATTGCAGGGAAAATGTTTCTTTTATTTAATGTATTGCTTTTAAGTATTATTTTTGTAATACATATCTGCCAAATTAAATAATGAGGGGATTTAGCCTTCTTTCTAATTGTGGGATTGTTTTTCCTGACCTGACTTCTGAGGTGGAGAGAACTTCTCTTCACTGTGTTATCGTAATGGAGTGCTTGCTGTGCTCTTAGGATCATACAATGAGCACTGTCATGAACAGTTTTATGTTTTACTAGGGGCTTGACACTATTTTAAGTCAGAAATCAAAAAGCAGGGTTTTTCAAATATTTTTTAGCAGTGATACTAGAAAATTTAATAGTCTTATACCCTCTTAAATCTTCCTGTTTTGGCCTTCTAAATTTACTCTTACATGGTCACCTGCTGGTGATCTGATTTAAAAAAAACCCCACTTTAATGACATTATGATTATGACTTGAATCTATTATTGGAGGGATGACTTCACTGATTCTGAGATATTTATTTGACTTTTTTATAATGCTTTTCTCCAAGGGAACCCTCATGCACTAATGGTGGAATTGTAAATTGGTGCAGACACTATGGAAAATAGTACGGAGGCTCCTCAGAAACTAAAACTAGAACTACCTTATGACACAACAATCCCACTTTTTGATATTTACCCCAAGAAACAAGAACACTAGCTCAAAAAGACTTATGTCCCCACCTCCATGGTCATTGCAGCATTATTTATAATAGCCAAGATCTGGAAATAACCTAAATGTCCATCAACAAATAAATGGGTAAAGAAAATGTGATGTATATATACAATGGAATAGTATTCAGTCAAAAAGAAGGAAATCTTGCCATTTGCAACAACATGGGTGGACCTCAAGGACATTATGCCAAGTGAAATAAGTCAGACAGAAAAAGACAAATACTATACGATATCACTTACATGTGGAATCTAAAAAACAAACAAAATAGAAACAAACTCACGGACACAGAGAACAAACTGGTGATTGCCAGATGGAAGGGGGTTTGGAGGATTGGGTGAAAAGATGAAGGGATTAAGAAGTACAAATTGCCAATTATAAAAATAGTCATGGGGATATAAAGTACAGCATAGGGAATACAGTCAATAATATTGTAACAACTATGTATGGTGCCAGATGGGTATTAAACTTATGGGGGGGGGGATCACTTTGTAAATCACATAAATGTCTAACCACTATGCTGTACACCTGAAAGTAATATAATATTGCATGTCTACTATAACTGGGAAAAAAGTAGGGTTTCAGGATTTAGAAGGTTCAACCCAATGAATGAAAAAACAGAAATATAAACAAAAAACCCTACGTTTCCTTTGTCCCCTTTCTCTATAATCTCCTTATTGACTTAGGAGACTCTGAAGAACTTGGTACTTTCTTTTTCTTTTTTTAAAATTGAATTTATTGGGGTGATATTGGTTAATATAATTATATGGGTTTCAGGTATATAATTTTATAATACATCATCTGTATATTGTGTTGTGTGCAGCACCTGAAGCCAAGTCTCCTTCCATCACTGTATATCCCCCATTTACCCTCTTCCACCTCCTGCCACCCTCTGGTGATCACCATGCTGTTTTTCTGTGTCTCAGGTTTTGTTTTTTTCTTAATCCCTTCCTTTTGCACCCAGCCTCCCAATGACCCTCCCCTCTGACAGCTGTTAGTCTGTTCTCTGTATCTATGAATCTTTTTCTATTTTGTTTGTTAGTTTATTTTGTTCATTAGATTCCACATATAAATGAAATACATGGTTCTTGTCTTTCTCTGACTGATTGATTTCACTTAACATAATATTCTCTAGGTCCATCCATGCTGTTGCAAAAGGTAAGATTTCCCTCTTTTTGTTTTTTAACTTTACTTTTATTGTTGACACTCTTACAGATGTTCCCATTTCCCCCTCCTTTGCCCACCTCCACCCTTCACCACCCTGTTGTCTTTGTCTATGAGTTATGCATATAGGTTCTTTGGTTAATCCCTTCACCTTCTTTCATCAAGTCCCACCCTCCCCCTTCCTCTCTGACTGCTGTCAGTCTGTTCCATGTATCCATGCCTCTGTTTCTATTTAGTTTATCAGTTTATTTTGTTAATTAGATTCCACATATAAATGAGATCATATGATATTTGTCTTTTTCTGACTGGCTTATTTCACTTAGTATAATAATCTCCAAGATTTCCTTCTTTATGGCCGAGTAGTATTCCATTGTACAAATGTACCACAACGTTTTTATCCGCTCATCTACTGATGGGCACTTGGGCAGTTTCCAGATCTTGGCTATTGTAAATAATGCTGCAATGAACATAGGGGTACATATATTCTTTCAATTTACTGTTTTGAGTTTCTTGGGATATATTCCCAGAAGTGGAATCGCTGGGTCAAAAGGCAGCTCCATTTTTAATTTTTTGAGGTAACTCCATACTGCTTTCCACAGTGGGTGCACCAACCTGCATTCTCATCAACAGAGCACGAGGGTTCCCTTTTCTCCACATCTTCATCAACATGTGTTGTTTGTTGATTTGTTGATGGCAGCCATTCTGACAGGTGTGAGGTAATATCTCATTGTGGTTTTAATTTGCATTTCTCTGATGATTAGTGACATTGAGCATCTTTTCATATGTCTATCAGCCATCTATCTGTATGTACTCTTTGGGGAAGTGTCTGTTCAGATCCTTTGCCTATTTTTTTTTAAATCCTCACCCAAGGATATTTTTTCCATTGCTCTTTCAGAGAGAGTGGAAGGGAGAGAGAGAGAGAGAGAAACATCGATGTGAGAGAGACACATCGAGTAGTTGCCTCCTGCTTGCACCCATACCAGGGCTGAGCCTACAACTGAGGTACGTGCCCTTGGCCCCATCAAACCCAGGACCCTTTAGTCCTTGGGCCAATGCTCTAACCACTGAGACAAACTGGCTAGGGCTCTTTGCCCATTTTTAAATTGGATTGTTTGTTTTTTGGTGTTGAGTTGTATAAGTTCTTTATAAATTTTGGATATTAACCCTTTATAAAATATCTCATTGGTGAACATGTTCTTTCATTCAGTGGGTTCTCTCTTTCACTTTGTTGATGGTTTCTGTTGCTGTGCAAAAACTTTTTAGTCTGATATACTCCCATTTGTTTATTTTTTTCTCTTGTTTCCCTTGCTTGAGCAGATATATCAGAAAAAATATTGCTACGAGAAATGTCTGAGATTTTGCTGCTTATGTTTTCTTCTAGGATTTTTATGGTTTCGAGTGTAACATTTAAGTCTTTAATCCATTTTGAGTTTATTCTTGTGTATAGTGTAAATTGCTGGTCTAGTTTCACTTCTTTGCACGTATCTGTTTAATTTTCCCCAAACTATTTACTGAATAGTCTACCTTTACCCCATTGTATATTCTTGCCTCCTCTGTCAAATATTAATTGGCCATAAAGTCACAGGTTTATATCTGGGCTCTCTATTCTTTTCCATTGATTTATATGTCTGTTTTTATGCCAGTATCATGCTGTTTTGACTAGTATGGCCTTGTAGTATAGTTTGATATCTGGGAGGGTCATTCCTCCAACTTTGTTTTTCTTTCTCAAGATTGCTGTTGTTATTTGGGGTCTTTTGTGGTTCCATACAAATTTTTGAAACAGTTTTTCTAGTTCTGTGAAATACTCCATTGGTATCTTCTTGATAGGAATTGTGTTGAATCTATAGATTGCTTTGGGTAGCATGGACATTTTTTTTTTTTTAAATATGTCTTTATTGATATCAGAGAGAGGAAGGGAGAGGGAGAGAGAGAGATAGAAACATCAATGATGAGAGAGTCATCATTGATTGGCTGCCTCCTGCACGCCCCCAATGGGGGATAGGGCCCCCAATTCGGGCATGTGCCCTGACCAGGAACCAAACCTCAAATGGGATTTTTTTTTTTTAGTTTCCCTTTATGATTTTTGGTGTACAAAATACAACTGGTTTCTGGTTATTTACTTTGTATCCTATTACTTTACTGAATTCATTTTTCAGTTCTAGTAGCTTTTTGGTAGAATCTTTAAGGTTCTCTACGTACAATATCATGCCATCTGCAAATGATGACAGTTGTACTTCTTCCTTTCCAATTTGGACACCTTTTATTTCTTCTTCTTGTCTGATTACTATGGCTAGGAATTCCAGTGCTATGTTGAGTAAGAGTGGTGAAAGCAGACATCCCTGTTTTATTCCCAATCTTGAACTCCAGGGTGTTTGGGGAACATCACCTATTTTCCCTTTGAGCTTCCTTTTTGTAAAATAATATTTATATTTAAGGAACATTCATTCATTCATGCAACACACATTGTTAGAGCCTCTGTCCTGTGCCTGTGGTGTGTGTGTGCACGCACACGTGTGTGTATGTGCATGTGTGTGTGTGCGTGTGCAAGGACAGGCAAGAGAGCTTGAGTAGCTAAACCTGAGCTTCCAGTCTCAGGACCCATGGGGACAGACTGCATAGGGCATTAGGACTGTCTCATAACTCACAGGGAAGTTTGTTTAATTTTTCTTCTTTTTGGTTCTATTTATTTATTATTGCTACCTTTCTTTAGCTTTTTATATCATAAGAAAAAAAGTAATCACTGCTTTTGGATTTTGAAAAAGATTTTGAAAATGCTGCAGCAGAGTATGTATCGATTTTGTTTCCTGGATGGGGATTGCTTCTGTATACTATGCTGGATGAAAATGTCAAAGCTGATGTTTATCTCAGCTTCAAGTTCTCTCTTGGTGATACCTGTTTCTGTTTTGCCCACAGGGGCCAATGTGAATGCAGCAAAGCTTCACGAGACAGCCCTTCATCATGCGGCCAAAGTGAAGAACGTGGACCTCATTGAGATGCTGATTGAGTTTGGAGGCAACATCTATGCCCGGGACAACAGGGGGAAGAAACCCTCAGACTACACATGGAGTAGCAGTGCCCCTGCCAAGTGCTTTGAGCACTACGAAAGTGAGGCCAGGCTCTCCTTGTTTGAATGATGCAATGCATTGTAGAATTGCACGGGTGACACTTATGCAAGAAGCTCTGTTCTGACAATATATTAGATCATTTATGAGAAAGAAATAATCTCAGACTAATCCATATGAGGCTGAGAATATAGACCCAATCCTCACTGTTCAGGAAACAAAGTACAAATGGTCTGGCTAAGGACAAGATGTCTTCTTTGGGTACAAAATTTTAAATGAGTTTACATAGAATTAGAGCCACAAGAGGCTTCAAACACCTATCAGTTGAAAAAAAACTATTTTTGCCAGCCATACCCAACCCAAATCATTATTAACTTAGAGGCAAACTCCATCCATGTCTGTCAGCTAACCATTTCCTGGGAGATGATGTTTCTTTTCCAAGTATGGGAAAATAAATTTCACCAGTAATTCTTTTTATTTTTCCTTTTAAATACCATTTTATTTCAACAATTTTCATAAATTGAGAAAACTCTCTTTGGTTAACTTATCTTTTTGTCAAATCTAAATCATTCTAAAAAGCAGGTCCTCTAAGCCAGGCTCTGTTTTGCAAACGTCCCTATGACTCAGCTGCCAGGGACCTCCAGGTATCTTCCATCTTTGGCCTTAGTTTGCTCACATTCCTGAGCCCCAGCTCCAGGCTTGTCTTTAGTCCTGAGGTCCTGACCCGCAGCACTAGGATGTGCATTGTGTACTCTGCTGGAGCTGTCATGTACGTCAGTTCTCTTGAGGTCAGCTTGTGCCCTGCAGCACTCAGTAGCCAGATCAGAGCCTGTGGACTGGAACAGCAGGAGCCGGCAGCCAGGACTAACCCTTGCCCTGTCCCTCATTTGTCTGGAAGTTTGACAAACAGTCCTACTAGATGTAGATTAGTACTTTGCTTACAATTCCATGTGCTAGGTTATAACATTAAGGGGGGGAGGGGGAAATCTCACACACACACACACACACACACACACACACACACACACACAAACACACACACAGCAAAAACCCACAAAAGAACCTCACAAAATGAAATCCCTCCGGATATCACTGGAATCCAATTCCTACTCTTGCTTCCTTGGGCTCTGTCTGTTCTTCCTGGTGGCCTTTCAGGGAAGGCTTGCAGGGCATGTCCTATTTCCATGAAGAGGGAGGTGTTTTCAGTTCTTGATATTTTTTTAAGTTGAAAGATGTTGATCTATGTTCAACTATGTTAAGCTAACTTCATGTGCTTCCTGTTTTCTTTTTTCAGAGACACCTCTAACGCTGTCACAGCTCTGCAGGGTGAGCTTGAGGAGGGCCACCGGCGTCAGAGGGCTAGAGAAAATCGCCAAGCTGAACATCCCTTCCCGGCTCATCGATTACCTTTCCTACAACTGAGCTGCAGGCACCCTGGCTGCTGGCCTTACTGAGCCCAGCGTTGTTTATCTGAAGCCCTCAGTTGCTATAGATAGAACAACGTTCCCTGAGTCCCTGTTGGCCACCCTGTTTCTTCTTCTCTGTGGACTCCTGGAGAGTATTTCCAAGGCATTGGGAAGTCCCTGGGGGTCATGGCCCTGTGCTGGCTCTCTGGGAACTTTGCTCTAACTCCTATGTTCCCAGCCATCTAATTGTCCTCTCTTCACTGATCTGCCTCAGAAGGAAAGACTCTCAGGAAAGACTCTTCCAGGAGCACAGGGGAAGGCCAGGTATAGCTGGGTTCCAGGTACCACTGTTGATTTCCACATGCCTGGGAGGTCAAGGAGTGTGGTGCCATCTCTGATTCATTCAGCACTAGGCAGCCCTGGGGGTTCAAAGGGAGGAGCCTGTGCCATAGAGGGTGGCCCATGGGAGGTGAGGTCCTGACCATATGGCCTGGGATGGCTGCATTGGGGACATCCTGCCACTTGGATGCTTTTTTCTGGAGCACAGGGTGGGCACTTTCCAAGGCCCACCTGCTTCCAGGTGTATGCATCACTCAGGGACTTTGTACGGGTTTTATGGGGGAAGGCTCAGGGTCTTCATTCCCCTTAACCAGCACAGTGTTTCATAGGAAGTTTTTCTTCAGTTTTAGGTCTCAACTTAAAAAGTTTATGTGAGGGATAAAAAAACTTTCAGAAGATATATAGGCTGTAGCATAGGTTTTGTTAATGAATCTTTAAAACAAAAGGTAATGTGGAGGCGTGTTAAGCACAAATTTCTAATGTAAAGGATTGTTAGGAAATGCTTTGGAGATTATGGTTGCCAAATGAATTATTTCTTACCCTAAATTTTGCTAACTCCTTGAGCTCTGAAATTGGTAGAAGAGGTTGCCAGCACCCAGTGGATATTATCAACCTCTGATCCGGTGCTTTGAACAAGATGGGAATCAGACTCATTATCATAGGCTGGGAAAGAAAGTCTTGCAATTTGTTCCTATAGTAATAGAAACAAGTAGTTCTATATTGTAAGTCATGCAGTGAAATATTAAGAATATTCAGACTGCATTTATCTGCCTAAGTTTCTGTATCGTAATTTAAAAAACAAACAGAAATCCAGGGAGTTAAACTAGATGACTTTGCATAATTAGTCCAGGTATATTTAGTTTCTAGGGAAACATAGAAGGCACCACTTGTGAACACCCCAGAAATGTGGACGTCACCACATTCTGCCAGAGAGTGTGGAATAGAATGCACCTGAATTGCCCAAGGTAATGCCAAGTGTGCTACGAGACCAGAAACATCTGCACAAAGTTACTTGGGTGAAGCCCTAGATCTGGTTGAAAGTTTCATGCTGGTGGCTTAGTTTATTTTCCATCTCTCTGTTCCAGCCATGGTTACATCATTCTATGCTGAGAGTAAAAGCCACTCCTGTTTGGTTACAGTCTTAGATACAAGTTCTGGGTAAATCAGTGTTTCTGTATGTACTAATAACAATGAAAGAAAAAAAAAAAGCATTGGGTTTGGCCCTTTCATCTTTGTAACAGAAACTTGCCTCTAGCAATGAGCTGGTGACATTTCCATAAGTGGGTACACAGAGTACAGAATCCTGGCTCCACACTCGCTGCTCAATAAAAGGTTGAATAGAGTCCCTCCTTGTGTTCACTCGGCTCTTTTCTTGTTGGGAACAGAAATACTGGATGGGCTTCATTCTGTGTGCACCCAGATCGGCCACTATCATCTTTCCTGCACTTTGGAAGGTCAAGTGATAGAGCCATGCCTATCTGATTCCCATTTTCCTGTCTCTCTCTTTGTCTCCTACTGCTGATCTCACTGCCACTGTCATGTGGAAAGACACTGCCCAAGGGACTAAGTGACTAAGATTTTAGGCCTCCTTCCAGTCTGTACCTTCTCCCCAGCTTTATTGAGCTGTAATGGACAAATAACCTGCCTGTACCCTTAAGGAGGGGTGTAACTCTGGACAAGTTTTTCCACTCCTCTGTGCCTGAGTCTCCCCAGCTGCAGAAGAGGGACAGAGGGTCAGACTTTGATCATTAAAAGGATGTTGATGATCAACCACTGAATCTTACAAATGAGAAATGAGGCCCTGCTAGTCTCATGGGTTTTTTGAGTCTGAAACTAGGTGATTAAAAGGTGCCCTGAAAAGTATAAAGTGCTCCCCAAATGTAAAAGTTATATGGCTATAATTGGACTGTGGTTTTGTTGGTGTTTGTAGATCATATAGCTGTGTAAACTATTCCCTTCTGACTTTGGGATAGTGCCACCTATTTCAGGAGGGATATATTCAGAAGACCTCTCAGCTTACATTTTAAAACTCAATGTGCAGCCAGCGGCTTTAGAGAAGACATTTGCAACATAAATGATTGGTAATCAAAATATATAAAAACCTTTTATAAATCATTAAGAAAGAGATTAACAACCAAATGAGGGGAAGAAAACAGGCAAAGACTATGAACAGGAAATTCACAAAAGAAGAAACCTCAAATGTCTGCTGACAGGAAAGGATGGTTGGTCATGATCAGGGAAATGCAAATTAGTGAATATTTAATTCAACAAAACGATACCATTACATACCATCAGCCTGACAAATATTAACAGTTCTGACAGTTTCTTTTTTCCCATTTTTAAATCATTAAATTTTTTTTTTCCAATTATAGTTGACATAGAATATTATATTAGTTTTAGGTGTATACCCCAGTGATTAGACATTATATAATTTACTAAGTGATCATCCCAATAAATCTTGCACCCATATGACACCATACATAGTTATTAGAATATTATTGATTATATTCCCTATGCTGTACTTTAAATCCTCATGACTATTCTGTAACAGCCAATTTGTACTTCCCAATCCCTTCACCTTTTCACCCATCCCCCCAACCCCTCTCTCATCTGGCAACCGTCAAAATGTTCTCTGTACTTATGAGCCTGTTTCTGTTCTGCTTGTTTTTTTTATTTTGTTTTTTAGATTCAATTGTTGATAGATGTGTATTATCACCATTTTAGTGTTCATATTTTTGACTTTTTTTTTTTCTTTTTCTTCTCCTTAAAGAAGACCCTTTTACATTTCATATAATACTGGTTTGGTGGTAATGAACTCCTTTACTTTTCCTTGTGTGGGAAAGTGTTGTTGTTTTTGTTTTGTTTTGTTTTTTTAAACATGTTTTTATTGATTTTAGAGAGAGAGGAAAGGAGAGGAAGAGAGAGAGAAACATTGATCAGCTGCCTCCTGCAAGCACCCTACTGGAGATTGAGCCCACAACCCAGGCACGTGTCCCCACTAGGAACTGGACCAGCAACCCTTTGGTGTATGGGAACGATACTCAACCAACTGAGCCACACTGGCCAGGGCTGGGAAGGTCTTTATCTGTCCTTTGATTCTAAATGATAGCTTTGCTGGGTAGAGTAATCAAGGTTGTAATCACTTTGAATATTTCTTGCCAACCTCTTCTGGCCTGAAAAGTTTCTGTTGAGAAATCAGCTGAAAGTCTTATGCGAGCTCCCTTGTAGGTAACTAACTGATTTTCTCTTTCTGCTTTTAATATTCTCTCTTTGTCTTTAACCTTTTGCGTTTTAATTATGATGTGCCTTGGTGTGGGCCTCTTTGGATTCATCTTGTTTGGGACTCTCTGCACTTCCTGGACTTGTATGTATATTTCCTTCACTAAGTTAGGGAAGTTTTCAGTCATTATTTTTTCAAATAAGTTTTCAATTTCTTGCTCTTTCTCTTCTCCTTCCAGCACACCCATGACTCAAATGTTGGTATGCTTGAAATTGTCCCAGAGGCTCCTTATGCAATACTCATTATTTTGGATTCTTTTTTCTTTTTGTTCTGATTGGGTGTATTTTGCTCCCTTTAATCCAAATCATTGATTTTATTTTTGGCTTCATCTACTCTACTGTTGATTCCCTGTAAATTATTCTTCATTTCAGGTAGTGTATCCTTCATTTCTGACTGGTCCTCTTTGATGCTGTTGAGGTTCTCATTAAGGTCATTTGGGCATCCTTATAACCAGTATTTTGAACTCTGCATCTAGTAGATTGCTTGTCTCCATTTTGTTTAGTTCTTTTTCTTGATTTTTGTTCTGTTCTTTCCTTTGTGACATGTTTCTTTGTCTCCTCATTTTGGCAGCCTCCCTGTGTTTGTTTCTATGTATTGGGTAAAGCTGCTATATCTCCTGGGCTTGGTAGACTGGCCTAATGTACTAGGTTTCCTGTAGGGTCCAGTGGCACAGCCAAGCTGGGCTCTGTGCACCCTCCTCTTGTAATTGAGCCTTGATTGCTGTTAGCATGTCAATGGGAGGGATTTACCTCCCGGCCAATCAGCTACAAGGACTGGTTGCAACCACTGATCACCGACCTCCAACCACCATGGAGGATCAGCTGTTGCAGGGGCCCACCCTACAGAACAGAACTTACTTCAGTGGGGCTCTGGTGCCAATGAGTCCACTCCTTGAGTTTGTTGCTTGAGAAGGTGGTTGGGTGGTGATGCTTTGACCTGACCTGAAGCTGTCTACTGGGTGCGCTGGCTCTGGGACCTCCTGGAAGGTGCAAGTCATGGTCAGCCAATGCCTGAGTTCTGCCTGAGGCTACCTGGCATGAGCTACAAAGCAATCTGCAAATGACTTCTACTTGTGCTGGGCTTGCAGGTACCCAGGTGAAGCCAAGCTGTGAACCAAGGCCAGCTGCTGCTAGTGCCGGGCCTGGGGCCACTTAGCAAGAGGTATGGGGCATGCTGAGGCCAGATGCTGCTTGTTTTGAGAGATTTTAGGAAAATATGAAGCATGAGCCAAGATAGACTATTTATATGGAAATGCTACTAGAAACAGGTTAGGTGGGCCTGAAAGTTGGGTGGGGCGGGGCCTCAGGGAATTACCAGAGCAGGGTCAACAGTGTTAGCCGGGTTGATGGAGACTCAGATATGGCACATGCCTACCAACTCTTTTGGGGAGAGTTCAATAGTGGCCTCTGCCAGCACTTTTGTCTGGGAGAAAGCTCTCACCCTGATGCCGACAATTCATTTTCTCCCTGACTGTCTCTGGTTCCTTTCAAGCTGCTGCCCCAGTACTGGAGTTTAGAGGGAGTGAATCCAAGTAAGTCTGTGCATGGGCCCTTTAAGAGGAACTGCCTGGGACTCTAACAGCCTCCATTTCCCTCAGCCTCAATTCCCATTGGTTTTTATAGCCTGAAGTTATGGGGATGTCTCTTTCTGGCACTGGAACCCTGACATGGGGAGGCCTGGTGTAGGGCTGGGACCCCTTGCTCCTTAGGGGGTACCTCTCCAGCCCAAATATCCCTCCTGATTTTTATCTGCCATGTATTTGTGGTACTAGCCTGTTATATGTCCCTGCCTCTCCTACCAGTCTCAATGTGGCTTCTTTAATTCCTTAGTTGTAGGACTTCCATTTAGCCACATTTCAGGCAATTTGGAATGATGGTTGTTCTGTAGTTTAGTTGTAATTTTTATGTGGTTGTGGAAGGTGGTGAGTAACTCATTTATCTATGCTGCCATCTCAACCGGAAGAGGCCTGACAGTTTCTTAAAGTTGATGGACCACATGGGCAAACGGGAACTCCTAGCTCTGCTAGTGGGGTATAAAATGATTTGTGTATTTTGGAGAGCTATTAGATGATATCTAGTACCATTTAAAGTGCATAGCACATGTGACCGGTACTCCCACTTTTACAAACATACCTTAAAGAAACCCTGACATATCATAAGAAAAATGTGCAGATATTTAGTGCAGCAATTTTGTAATAGTAAAAGACCTTCTTAGTAGGGGAGAAGTTGTAGAAGATATTTGTATAATGCCTAAGTGCTACGAAAGTTAATACGAAAGACTGTTATGTATTTTAACATTAATAGATCTAGAAATTGTAACAGCACATGAAAAAAAAGTTGTCAACCTATTTATATTCAACACAAATCTATTTGTATAAATTGAAAGATAAAACAGCATAGGTATGTGAGGATACCTGTGTGTGTAGTAAATGTGTAAAATCATGGAACCCACATGCCAACATCCTGCTGTGCTTACCTCTGGGTGAGGAAGGGACCTGTAACTTGGGAACAGGAATAAAGGGGACTTAATTTCTCTGTGATATTTTATTTCTTAGAAAAAGATATGAAGCAAATATGAAGAATGGTGCTATTTGTTCATGGTGGGTGGTAAATATATACATGGGTATCATTCTCTATTGTTTCAGGATTCTTTTTCTAACAAAAATTTAATGTACAGAGGAAGGACAAAGGGCAGAAATGTCTTTTTTAAATAAGAAAGATACCTGTGTGACAGTTGTAAACTGGATTCTGTTTAAGAATATCTTTCAGCTTTCTATTGGCTAGAGTCATATATTGGGTTAAAAGATTTTGTGTTCCATAATAGGTGCTGATGCTTTTTTTCTTTTTCTTTTTCTTTTTCTTTTGACCAACCTCATTTTTGAACAAGGAAACAGGTTGCAGCTATGTTCTTAGATACACTAAACTTTAAAAGCTCTAGATGTTCTCTGTGGCTCACAGGGCCTGCCTACATCTCAGGGAAGGGAAGTATCAGGTAAAGTCCCTTTTCCCTCTTTGGTTAGCCTGTCCTGCTTTGGCATGACTCACTCCCTAGATGTTGTGAAC